CCCTAGCAATAACCCCCTTCCTCCACAATCTGATGGTTCAGGCTGACCGGTGCCAGGAGCGAAGGGAGTATGTCCTCCTCCACAGCCAGGGATGCAGACCTGGCAAAAAGCCCTTCCTCTGCCTTCCCTGTGCGGAAGGATGGAAAGTGGAGATGTCCGCTCTATGCTGCATTTTGGGCTCTTTCCTCACAGAAGGGGAGAGGGGCTGGGGGCGCTGGCGGTGAAGGTGTTCGGTGAGGCCAGCCCCCACAATGTAGTGCAAAGTGGAGCACAACATTGTGGGAGATACATTTATAACTGCTTCCAGTAATGGGGATCACTGGGTGTCGAGCACATCGGTATAGTGACCATCACCAGATGTGAGTCTTGTTATCATCTCAGCGTGAGTCTTCTGCTTCTTTACTACCACCCAAACGCTTTGTCTTTTTTTCTTCCATAAGGGCTTACTTTTTCTCAGGAAGCAAGTTAGGATCTATTGCTTCATCATCAAACACTTCATCAATAAAATAAATGTCTTACTACTTCCTGACATAGGTGAGCTCAGATTAAGGAAAAAAATAGCTGCTTTGTCCTCATTTTCTCCTTTTTCTGCCGCTTCTGACTTTCTCACTTCCTGATCTGGTCTCTGTCATCAGGGCTAACCTCCCCAGTAATTTTCTCTGACTCCCTCTTTGCAGAATCAGTTAGACCTTTTCATCCAGCTTAGGGATGGCAAGGAATACTTGGTAATTGTAACTGTGCTATGGCTTCCAATCCATTTCGGCAGGAGGTTGGGTTAGACCATCTTCAGTGTTCAGCTGCACTCGGAAACAGGCTGGGAGCACTGAGGCAATCAGGCACAGCAGCAAGATGGATTAAGCAGTGGTGTTTTTTCCACAATTAAATACTTGGTCTGCACTGCCTGTCTGCGTGAAGGCTTTGAGTCAGGTCCAGCGCAAAGAGCTTAGCTTGAGCTCTGCTGGCTTAAACTGACCTCTTGACTTTGTGCTGGGGTGGCAGCGGAGTATGCACGCATTTTTTAAGTACAGCGAGGAGGCACCTCAGTAAGAAAGCGGCTGCACTGAGTCAAACCAAGGGAAACTGTAGCCCTGTACTCTGTCTCTACTACTGCCCCTTGGTAGATGTTAAGGCAAAAAATATAAGAACAGGGAAGGCATGCAGAGATACGTTCTGCACTCCACCGATCTGTATTGTATGGAACTCTTGATTCAGAATTTGTACCTTTACATTTAATAGGCTTTCATTTTTTTTTCTTCTATGACTTTGTATAATTGCTTTTTGACTGTTTTTATGATACTGGCAGCATCTGACAGTGAATGCCACTATTCTCTTATGCTGTGTGAAAAAACTCCACTTCTTTTGCTAGTTTTAAACCTGCTAATTTCATTGGGCATCCTCTTGTTCTCATGTAGTGAGAAGCCAAGCATCCATTCATTTATTTTCTAGGCACTTTCCCAGGGTTCTCCTGATTTTATACATATCTGCCATATCCCCCCTCAGTTGTCCCATTTCCAAGCTGAAAACTCCAAATCAATTTAATCAGTTCCAAGCTTTAATTGCCCTTCTTTAGTTCCCCCATGTAATTTTTGAGAGGCAAGTACCAGAACAGCAGGCAGTATACAAAAAGGAGGGTACTATGTGGTTTTGTATAGTGCTATAAAGGTGTTTTCTGTTTTGTGCTTCATTCCTTTTTTTTAAAGCTCCTAACTGCTGGGTTTTTTGACTGCCAATGAGCATAGGATTTATGTTTTCTTTTAGTAAGCTTTCAGGGTTTTTTTATTAATTCTTTTTTTTTAACTTAAACACAGTTGAATTTATTTATTTGGTGTGCTTTTTGTACCTACAGGAAGCTGAATTTCAGTACGTTATGATTAGTGTTTCAACAGTAACATCTTGAACCAGCCCTGTCTTTTGCTCAGGCAAGACGAAAAAGAGCTGTTTTTATCAGAGATTTTCCAGACATCATTGCAACAAAAGTTATGGTGTTTAAACATTTAGTCTCTGCATTATGCCTAGATATGACAATTGCTGAGGCTTTATGAGAGAGCTCCCATTAGCTCTAATGCTCTAAGGCTTAAGCAAGGAATTTCAAGACACTGAGAAACTCTTTTTGATAGAAGATAACAGTTTATACTGATTCTAATTTTTCTTTAATGGAGCATTGCTCCTTCATTGAAATGGCTGGTTCTCTCATCCTATATATTTTTTCCTTTGGAACTGTACGGATTCTTTTCATCATTTTTATGATGCACTGATTATGCCAATATCTGTGGACCAGTTTCTTATTTTTATTTGCACTGCTTATGCATACATTTGAATTAAGGATAGATGGTAGGTAGGTAGGTAGGTAGGTAGGTAGGTAGATAGCAACTAATAATGCAAAACTCACTTTTAAATCAATGGTTACTGGATCATAAAACACATAATGTTATGTTACAGAACAGAAGTTGGAAATTATACTGCATTTTCAGTTTGAAACTGAAAGAGTGATATCCTCTTTGACTCCTAATCTTAAATGTGCATTTTTGTTTCTTATATTTTTATATATGTGATATTCATAGAATTTTTTTTGTTATGACTTTTGTCTCTGTCTCTCACTAATGCATACAGTCAGTCGAAGTGAAAAATTGTTTAATAGAATGAGCATGTCCTTCATTTAAAACATCTTATCTACTATTCAGGATATTAGCATTACTGCTAATTACTACTGCACTTGATTTGATTTGACAATGGCAAAACTAAGAACAAAGGAAAAAAAGCCAAGGTACTGCACTTTTAGTTTCATGGTTTGTATCACACTGATCCTATAACCCTGGGATTTGTGTGCTGATATTTATGAAATTGGTGGAAGTCAGTGCATGCTTCACAAGTTTTATGATGCTTAAGGCATCTGTGGCACCGATTAACTTTCAGACTGGTAAAATGGCTTAGGTGAGGGAGGAATTTTTTAAAATGAGGAATCCTTTTTTCAAAATATGTAATATTTCAGACATGCGATCTCACCAATAAAGGTAACATGCTCTTAAGGAAATACAAAAGTAGACTTCCAACTGACACTGCCTTCAAGACTGTTGGTTTTCAGATACTCTCAAAATACCCCGCACTGTCAGAGCTTAGAAGTTTGACTGTGAATAGATCTGAATTTGACATATTTTGGAGGTACAGTTTTGCAAGTGGATCAATGTAGATTTCCCTTCCCCCCTTAGACCCCAAATCCTGCTCCCCTGCTTTGACCCTGGGAGTTAGACAGACCTCCTGCAGACTGTTGGAGGGCAGGTCACAGACAGCCATACAAAGGCAGAACTGATTGCCCTACTGGCATCGGGGCTCTGTGTTAAACCTGCTGCCATCTCATAAAATCAAAAGAAAATCTTCAGTGAGTCAGTTTTTCATTCTGCCATCCCTAAGCCCAAGTGACTACGAGGGCCATTTAACACAGTACATTTTTCTAGTGTATTACAATTACAGAAACATCTGTTATGAATATCATTTTGCTAAACCACTGTGAAAAATTCACAGAGTATTCAGTAGTTGCAAGAGTGGTCAATTACTTACCTGTATTGAGGTGGTCGTGTGGCTGAACATTGTAATTCATTGGAAACACACAGGAATGTTAGGACCAGAAATAACTTTTACTCTGCCTGCAAAATGCATCTTATGATGGTTTACTGTGCAGATATAACATATTTCTTTATCTGTGTCACACTCATATGCGGTTAAAATAATTTTTGAAAGTTGCTGCTATTATTTGATTATGTATAAGCCCTAAATTTTGGGATAAGAACTAAAAAATGGTCATTCTGTCTACAAATATCTTCAGCAACTTAATATCCTTACATAGGTACTTTTTTCTTTGGAAAGTTTCTCAGAGCTGCACGGTATTTTTAGTTTCCCATACTAACTGCTGAATCTACTTGTATGAAAATCTACTTGTAAGGCATCATGTTCACTGCCCTTCAATGCAACTTTCAGATGAAAAAAAGATAACTCTGCATAAATAGCTTGTTTTTATCTTTATGTCTTATATTACTCTTTATCTTTGCTTCTACAGAGGACTTGCTAATATTTTTTATATTCTTTTATTTGATTATCTTAATATTTTATTTTTAACCATATTTTTAAGACAAATTTGAGGTATCAGTAAGAAACCAGTTTTGAGACCAGATGTGCTAGAAATGCAAACATACAGATATTGATAGAAAAGATCAGATCATGGTCCAGCTAATCTAATAATCCTTCTGACAGAAAGTAGGTGATTCAGAAGAAGTTGCCAGAAATTACATGAGAGACAAATAGTGGGTAATCTGTCAGCCACCTTAAATCTTCTTGGAATTCCTTAGTACTTTGAGATAATTTTAAGCGCTAAAGCATCAGGTTTCAACTTTCTTTGAAAATATATTAGCATTAACTATTACAAATCTGGAGCTTTGCTCATGAATAGCAAAAATTTGACAAATATGAAAAATGAAGTAGTTCAAACATTACTTAAAACTGCAAATCTCTGAATCTTTGAATGATTATTTACTTTCTAAGCAGGTGAGAGAATTTTTGGAGGGGTGAAAATGACATAACATAATGAATGGCCAATACTTTTATGGTCCTTTTGATCCTTCAGAAGCTCTGGTATTGTGGCATAAATATTACAAAACTAATTTGTCCTAACTAACGGTTTGAAATAAGAAAACAGCTCCGTTATGCTGCCTACTTGTCAGGTATTTGGGTGAGAGGAATGTTAACTTACCCTGTTAAAGTTTCAGAAAGTGTTAATATGTTATATACTTGTGAGCACGATTTGATCACTAGTGCTACCACCAAGAAAATTAATTACCATTTCATGTAAGGTGAATATTTAACTTCGCAGAAAACATTTTGAACTAATCTTTATATTAGCTGATGAATCAGATCCTACCTCACATAATCCCATTAATCTAAGCCAAAAGAAGAAGAAGCAGAAGATGTATTTCTGTAAATTTATGTTATTCCTTTTCTTTTCTTTCCAGACAACTATTACGGCACTCCGAAGCCTCCAGCAGAACCAGCTCCATTGCTGTTAAATGTAACAGATCAGATCCTCCCAGGTGCCACTCCCGGGGCTGAAGGCAAACGCAAAAGGAATAAGTCTGTGAGCAATATGGAGAAGACGGGTATTGAACCACCGGAGGAAGAAGAGGAAGAAAGACCTGTGGTCAATGGAAATGATGTGACAGTAACACCAGGTCTGTTCTTCCTTCTTACTTTGCAATGCATTTCTGTTATTCACAGAGTCCTCAGTTACCTCCTTCTGCAGTGAGAATATGCATGTTCAGGTAAGGATGTTCTTATAAGACTGAAAGCCAGGAATCCTGAATAATAGGATTTCTCTCAAGCCTAAACCAAATTACTTAACCTCCATTTTGGGGAGTCATCTCACTTATCTCAACTACCGTAAAGATATCTGAACTAGTCGCTTTGAACTCTCTTTATAGACCAAAGAGAAAAATATCTGCTTTCTGAATATAGTCATGTGACCTGTTTTAGATTTCTAGGTTAGGAAATCAATCACAAGTGCCTATTTCTCTCCATTGACTATAGAGAGAGACTAGAGAACTGTAATTTGGTCAAATGAATCTAGTCTCTGTGTTTCAGGTCTCCTTGTTCTCAAATGGTGATACTCACAATAGAGTTCACTACATTATGAAGTGAACTTTTGTAAATTGTTATGAAATTTTAGCAATATTGTAGAAGAGTAAAGTTGTCATCATATTAATGAATCTGTGGCAGTGCCAATGAAACTTAGCTGGCAATACTATCGGGAAGGACCCTTTTCAGCAATCTTCCAGAGCCTGCATAAAGCTGATAAAGATTTCAGATGTCTAGTCCTAAAAGGCAGCTGTTGTTTTACCCCTTGGATCATAGTTCTTCAGAAAAAAAGGGGCTCAAGATACTGACTTGTATCCTGAGTGAGAGCACTCCAGCTTTTTCCCAAGCAGGTAATCAGCTTCCCCTTCAATGTTTCAGCAAGTCATGATTTTACAGTACTTAATCATTTTTATTCTGAAATACCATTTAAGAAATGACTTTTTTGTTGTTGTGCAAGTATTAAAGAATTCAGACTTTTATATTTCTCTGAGAAATAATTCTGTGAATCCTTTTTGGTGAACTTAGAAATTCAGAAATAAATTATTGAAGAAGTCTGTAGTGACAATCACATGGATGAGAAGATAAAATGGAATATTGCAAGTTCTCTAAATGTATAGGTTAATGTGAAACAAAAAATCCGTTACCTAATCTTCTAAGCACTGTAAAAAGGATTTTCATACTGCAGGTTCTATATATACTTTTTTTCCTCCTACTGCATTAGAAAGTATATCGAATTGAAGATCTTCCCATGAAGGATGTATTTGCCACGTGTTTTTCTGTAGTTGTTGCCTAACATTACATGTAAGGGCAAATCCCTGTGCAGAATCCATCCCTGTGTACAAGGTGGGTGGCAGGGAGTGGTGGGGTGAGAGTGGATGTCGTTCTCCCCTCTTGGCTCGCCAAAGGGCTGCAGCATTACTCCCTGGCCATTGCCATCACATTCTGTACGAGCCTTGCTCATCCCTTCCACACAATATTGCATCTGTCGGCAATGCTCGGACGCTTAGTGCCTTTCCTACACAGCTAAGCAGAAAAGTATGAAGCCCAGAAATCCTTACATAAAACATCAGCACTGGATCTGTTGCCAGGATACTTCCACAGCGGAAGAGGCAAAGGCAGGATTTGGTCTCTGATGTGTATTGTAGAAATCATTAGAAAGATCATTCTTCGCAGTTATTCAAAATGTGCCACATAACGGACCATTGCTGAGGAGCAATTTCCAGGGCAATATGTTTCAGCTCAAACTGGATCAAGAGGCAATGTTTACCTGCTTTTCTCCTTGCATTGTACACCTATAATTTGCTTCTCCCAGGCAAATTCTATGTGAACGATGACTAGGCAGCACCCAAGAAACAGGCACTGGCATGTGCTGTGTTACAAAATGAAATACATGAGCATCGGTGTAAGACAGCCCCCCTCCTCCCCCTCCTCGCCCCCCACAAAGTAATTCCTGTAGGTGTGGCCAGCAGAACAAGCAGTGCCTGTGTTGGCTCTCATGGTTTCATAAGCAGGGTTTTGTTGTTCAGCTACACTGATTGAGGACTTTGGGGATTGTAGCAAAGCAGCTCTGTACATACATGCTGTGTTGCCTTTGTTGGGCAGTGTAGCTCCCACGGACCCTGTTACTGCAGTCATTTTCTCTGTGAGCTGACAGAGTCTTAGCTACCTCTAAAATGTGTGTGCATTTGTAGTTTGTGTCTTTGAACAATCAGGAAAACCAGAATATGTTAATTTTTTTCTTTTTCTATTAAAACTCTTGGAGGGAGCAATCTAGTTTTTATAAAGAAGCAACTAAAGCAGGATATTTGTTATTTCCAGTTCTTTTAGAAAGTGTATTCTATTTTAAATACTTCCCTTCTAATGGGAGTCTTTTATTAAATATAGGACTCTTGGGACATCTGAAACATTGATACATTTTTTATAGAAGCTCAGCACCTTAATGACTTATTAACTGCCAAGGTATCAGAGTGCTGGCAAGGCAAAGGACTGCTGTAACACCTAGGACTGCTAGGGTGAAATTGTAAAAGATCTAAGATGAATCTGAGGAAAAGAAACCTGTCTTTATCAGACCAATAAGCAACATTTGTAGTTGCAGCGATCTTTGTGCTTTTGGTCTGATTTTCCAGACCACTTTTCAGTATCTGTCGAGATAATCTGCGCATCTGTTGAGCTTTATTAGTAGGAATCAATTTGTCATTAATTCACTTCCACATACCTTGCTTCATAGGCCATCAGATTTCCCTCGGACAGTTGTATTTGGACAGACTGGAGATCTTCAGCTGTGCTCCATAATTGTCTTCTTGTTAATTTGTGCTGCCAAATGTGTTTATTCTTTCTGATTTTTGTCACCTGTCCTCAGCTCAGAACCCAACAGGAAGTCTTCTCACTTCTTTAGGGTGAGGCTTTTGGCCACTTTAGAATGGAGCACTCTCAGTCCTTCATCCTGGATCAAGTTCTCTCAGGACACAATAGTATTAATTGGGAAGTGGGATTTATCTCATTCAACTTCAGTAAATTATATGCCTAAATGCCTTACTTTTTGTTTGAGCTACTTGGCTCTGCTCTCTTTTATATAAAGTAAGGAGAAAGAGGCAACTCCAAAGAGTAAGAGAGCATAGGTGGTTGAGATACCCATTTTAGGGTAACACCTCTGCAATCTAGAATGCTTAATTCAGCCTACAGATACACAGGAGCCTAGATTGCTAAATTTAAATGAAGAATCCTACTATTTGCCAAGCAGCATGAGAAAGACACAATCTATAGATTAGCTGTTAAGATGGTCAAGTCTAGCATTAGCGTTGGGTTTCTCATACCTAATGCAATTTGCACACATTACCGGACTTCTGGCTACTCTGGGTTGGGTGTCTGCCATTCACTGGTTTGGGTGAGACCTTTTGCACCTGAGAAGCCTTTCCTGATGGACACTGCATTGAAATGAATGATTTCTGCAAAACTGATGCTTCGACAAAAGAGGTAAAAAGACTCTTGGTCGAATTGCAACCCACTTGTCAGACATTCAGTTTTCACTGCTGTTACTGTTCGTGTCTGCAGAGAATTAAGTCAGTCTCCTTCACAACCAGCATCATGATTTGACACTGTGTTGGTCATGTCACATGTGCTTCACACTTCTAAGTGTTTATCATCCGAACTCCAGAAGAACCTCTCTAACATTGAAGGAATGCTTATGTATGTGCATTATTCTGACATTACTTGAGCAATGATAAGTTGCACCCAGAGAATGAAAGTTCTGGCAGGCTCAAATTAATTGAGGGATAAGATATGACATAAAGTTTCAAAATGATCATTCCATGCCTTAGGTTGATAACGAAGCAAAAGGCTAGAGTCCCAATGCTGTTAATCACCATGCAAGTCCCAAGGAACAGGTTGAGCTTATTCTTTTATTATTACACAGCAAAGAGAGCCAGAGGTATGAAAATAATACACATGGCATCCAAAAGCCATCCAAAAAATACAAAAATTGGTGTCTATTGATATTTCTGTTGTAGGTGTGTTCTCTAAACTCAATTTATCACAGCTAGGTTACAACCTATGACCTACAGAATACCCTATGCTCACCCAGTCTCCATGTGCCCTGTTTTCCTTCCCCCACATCAGCTCCTAGTTCTTATTGTGTTAGTGCCTCCATGCAAAGCACCAAAACCCAAGTATGGCTACAGGTCTGTGGGAAAGGGAGCAGCTCCAAGGCTGCAGAGGGATATTTTCACAAGAAAATAGATGCACATAGCTCAGCAAACATGACTTAAACTACTCTCATATCCAACAGTTATTTAAAATGGATGGACTGTTTCCTGTGCTGAAGTTAACAAATTAGTCATTTAGATACAATAAGGGTATAAAGAGCTGCGATATTTTCCTTCAGAGCTGCTAAAACCACTCCATAAATTACTATTTAATAATATTTCCTTTAATTTGTCCTCTGCTGATATTGCTTAGGTCATCTGGTTTGATACTTTTGGAGGAAGGGAATAAGTTTTTAAACTTTACTGCATGAATAATCTGCAGCATTAAAATAAAGGAATAAAGTGACAAGGCCCTCTTACATGTTTAGATGGCAATTTCAAGAGTTAGACTGTAAATAATAGAAACAATTTAAAGTACAAGCAACACCATTGATGAAGGCTTAAATTCTGAGACTATCGAAACATAACTACCAGTTATTTCTAAAAAAAAGGTCACTAGGTTGTCTAAGAGCTGTATAGAGAATATGTCATGTTAACCAGTAATATTTTAACTGCTGGTATTTGGAGTTGGAGTACTACAGAGATGAACTTCCAGTATTTAATGATAAGTAGATATTTGTAACATACACATTATCTTCTTCCCAAAGTTCTTGGTATTCCACATAAGCAATAACTTGCTGGTGCTTTACTGGTGCCTATTTTGTCACTTCCCAGGACACTCACTGTTGAGATATTGTGCTAAACTGCTTTTGAAAATTGGACCGTGTAATCTGTTTTGTAGCAAGACAGCAGATCTAGTAGGCTATATCACTTGATGTAAAGTCAATTGATTGTTTTTTTAGTGACAAAAATACTTCTGGACCCATATTATGGTACAATTTTAGGATCTTTTTTTA